AGTAACRAAAGACTCTCGGTGTCAGGGTAGAGGTAGATGAGAGACTAGGTCTTGAAGAAGGGTCTAGAGAGAGACTTTCTTCATTCGAAGAACAAATCAGTTTGTTAGGATCAGACGTAACCTCCTAGATTTCAAGGACTGAAGGTAGTACCAGGAGTATCCAGCGTGACATCCTGCAAGTGCCAGCCCAAAGGAACTATCCTGGTTAGAGTCCCAGGTTCTGGCAGCTACAGCATCAGCCTTCTGGGACTCTCAGAAAGACCGTCACCAATCAGACCAGATACACTGAGCAACTTGAGAAGCAGGAGCCTGCCTGCTTGGCAGTGCTGGCTTCCTTTAGGGCTGGTTAGTGTCAGTGGTGGACACTCTGTGGTAGTTAAGAGAAGCAGTAAGATGTGACGGAGAAATACCAGAAAAAATGGTATTTTAGGAGAAATGGAAAAAAAAAATCTGCAGGCAAGAAAACCCTGCAGAGAACCAGGCCTAACTTTTTAAACAGCTCCAAGATGTTCTTTTTGGAGGATCAGAGAAGCACGTTAGAAAAATGCTGGAATGGACCTACTTCTTTATGAGCACATCCCAATGCCAAATAGCATCATCTTCTCTGCCACGATGCTAATCGCCAGAACATGGGAGCAGCTGCATCTCCCTCAGTGAAGGAGCCAGAAACACAACCTCTAGGACACCACCAGCACTACAGACAATGGAACACGCAACATCAGCAACAACAGCCACCAACCAAAAAGCAACAAAACTCCCCAAAGCTTCATGCAGGGCTCTGGGTGATATTCAGAAACCTAGTCCAGATGCAGACGGGAAAATTCTCTGAAGAGGATGAGGTCTGAATTGGATTAACCCATCTTTAGGATGACGGTCTGCACTTGAATGGGAGATGTGACTGAAGCCTGGAAAGACACAGCTGTTTTCCTCCAGCTATCTCACGTTGCAAAGGCAGTGAGCCTGCTCAGTGCAGACTTCAGCACGGCCTCACAGCATGGACCCTCGGTGAGGTTACAGAGCTCGTTAGCCAAACCAGTGCTCTGAGGGACAGCCAAATCATGACTCTTCAGCCATACTGTATGCAGCCAAAAAACACTTCTAGTGCGGTACAGGGCTGGGCTGATGGTTCATGATCTCGTGGGGTTGTGTTAATGCAAGAGTCTGCCCTTCTCCACAATGAAAAGGGCAACAGAACACCAGGGTTTGCTGTGGTGGCATCTGTAGGATACCCAGCTCCATTCCACCACATCAACAGTTGTTATCTGTGAGCCAGGAATGAGTCTGAGGGCCTCATCTCTTCAGGCCTCCTGGGGACATGATGGTCCACAGCCATGTGGAGACAATGGTCAAACTTCTGGCGAACAGCACAGCTATCCCTGTGCAGGTGTGGAAAGGGAATCACAGCTTGGCTACCCAGGCCTAGGATACAAATCAAGCACTTGGCCCACATAACCATTTTCTAGGCCCAGATACCACACTGAATGAATGGCAGCCCTGCTACCAGTRGATCCTTTCTGCACTCATGACACCAACCACCATGTCCAACCATTCACCATGTGCATCTTCTGAAGAGCGTATCACAGGATGCTAAGGCCACCAGCTCTCTGCCACATATGAGAGCCACCCTCCTTACTGCTTAAGAGCAGTTACTTCTAGTTCTCACCTCTTACACACACATGCCAGGTGTGAGAAGCAGTTCTGATGTTGAAACCCACTGCTGAGCTCCATCAGGGTGGAAAAATCCAATCACGGGCAGATCTGCCAAAAAGGAGGTGGGAATGGTAAGGATAGAGGCAGGAGAGGCAGGGTACTAAACCTGCCCAATGCTCCTGAGTGCCTCGTTACACTGATTTATATTTAGTTAATTGAGAAAATGACTCTAACTACACAATCCAGGCCCTAATTCAGAAAGGCCTGAGCTTTTTAGCGTCTTTACCTGCATCTTAAAAGGCAAGATTTAAACCCTGTAGCTAACAGGCTGCCAAAGGCAGAGATTTGAAGGACCTGATGTCCTATCGTGCCAAGAGGGTGAGGCTTGGCTAGCTTCTCTCATTACTTGGTCTTTCCCCACTGACGTACAAGTTTGCTGCTGGGACATAAATCAAGGGAAATGATGAAGGAAACCAGTCTCGTGCCCCATCAAAGGAGCCAGCGCTCGTTTTACTAGGACCATGCAGACAAGCCTAAAYAGGGCACTTAACAAGCATATGTTTCCTGTTATACCAGCCCATATCTCTGCGCCCTACGTGCATGGCCACTGGCAAAACCCCGTGTCCCTCACCCACCAGACCTGCACACATGATGCAGAGTTAAAAAAGGGACCACAACACAATGTCAAAGTGACAAATGTATGATCTCTTGGCAAGACTGAGCAATCAGAAAAAAATATCTAGGTCTTAGTAATAGTATGAACCTTTACATGCAGCTATGGCATGTGCTACAGCAAAGCACAGGCATCCCTATGCCATGGACCTACCCCACTACGGCTATTCAGGACCAAAGTACCAAAGTCAGTCCCTGACTGACCAGCTGCACGAAGACAAAGTAAAGGATGAGGGCTCAGTTTGGGGCTATCTAGGCTTTTAGGAAAAATTCCACTACTTGAAAGAAATGTCACTTGATGGAGAGCTCAAGCCTCTCCCCAGACAACTACCCTAAGCTGAAAGCTCTTGAGAGCTTCAAGTTTCAAGAGCTTCAACTTCAGCTGGGCTGGATCAGCCTGAGGATTGTCCAAGTGTTTTACACCATGCACTAGACAACCATGGGAACCCAGGCCACAGAAGTTACGCTCTTTTCTCTGAGCCTTGACCACCTATGCTCATTMAAACTTCCTTTTTGACAGAGGAGGGAGTGCTAATCCCAACATCCTGGCCAAGCTGCAGCACGGGCAATTACACTGTGCTTTGTAATATTCTCACAGTGGTTTAGACTGYTCTTTTCCAATTCTTCCCATAAGGGTAAAGCTGTGGTCCAAGAAGAAATGATTATAATGGCCCAGGAGAACACATTTCCTCTGGGTATTACTATCCAATACCATGCCTATAATGGACATTCAATCCCAGCACCATCCAAATTCAGGCTTCTACCTGTACCTACAAGAGGCCCTCTCTGAAAAATCAGCTGGTCTGTTGCTGACTTAGGAACATTTTAGTCTTCCTTGTTTCAGAAGAGACACCGGCTGAGCAGACATCACACTTGTCTTCAGTGCAACCCAGGGACAGCAGAACCAACTGCTATAAARTGCTTTAGATAGTACAAAGGTTGAAATGGTGTTTTCCTGAAAAGCCCCCAATTCCAACTTCCTCCACAGAAAAACAACAAAAAACGCTCCCTCCAACACTTTTGTTGCACCAAAATCATCTCCTGGCATTTCTGAGCAGCACACATGCTGTTACAATTACGAGCGGACTGCGCGGCTCCGGCATAGGGAGAACGTTAAACCGGCACGCTGGCACCCATCAAAACATTTGAGAACTTCCAAAGTGGAACTGACACCGTGGTAGTGGTTTATATCACACGTCAGAGAAGGGCTGCATAACTCAGATCAAACAATTTAACTCTTGAGCTTCCTGTCTAGGGAGAGCAACCAAATGCTTGCCTGCCTATCGTTATTCCATGGGGCTGCTTCATATGGCTTCCAGCCAGTTCACTTCATTTTGCAAGTTCTTATGTTAAATATGGCTAGACCCAGCCAGAACTCCAGTGAGGGACCAGTAAGAGAACAGAACCTGTTGCTTCTAACAATAGCATCTCTTCTGGGAGCCAGGAACAGCACCAGCCATGCCARGACGGCAAGCAAGGACTATTCTTTTAAGCCATTTTCTTGGCTATACACTTATTTCTTTCCAGGTAACTCATATTCCTACCGAGTTGTCAAAAAAAGATTTCTTGTGACTTGTGACTTCTCATCTTTTTTGTTTGAACAGTTCAGACARGTCTTATCAATACTAGAGATCTGCAATCAGGAAGACTATTCCAGCAATATTTTAGCCAACTAGAGGCCCACAAATTGTATGCATTTGCTCCTTGTAAACAGGATTACAATTCAACACTTCTGCCAGCTGCTTTTATGTCTCCTGATGAGCTGAATAAAACTATAACAAGGACCAGATCTATTTCCTAGAACTCTGATTCGAGGAGCAACTGGGGACAGTTTCAGAGGATGGGACATGAATGGCACAATTAAATTTGTATTGCACTCACTGGTATCCAGTTTTGAAAACCATAATTGGGTTGTTACAAGCTGCTCCGTAACTGCAGGCAGGGCAAAGGAAATCAGTCCCACTTTTGCAGAAGACAAAGCAAGCTTTGGTTTTTAGGCGAAGTCTTCCAACAAAGTAAGAGGGAATGCAGGATGCATCAGTAACAACACAGCAGTAACTGAAAGGTTGCTTCTGAGTTTTCCAACTTCTATCATCTCTCACCACAAGTGGCTTCTCTAAAAGCAGATTTATCTTTCTCCTGTGCTTGGGAGACACTAGCAGAGATTTTGCAGTGCTGCTTTGGGCCAGTTAGCTGAAAGGATCCCTGCCAAGCTGCATCTTGCCATGTCTTTGCCTCATTCATTTTCGTATTACCTGCAGAGCAAAGTTGCCAAGGGAAGTATCCAATTTGATCTCTTATCACCTCCTGCAGGAAAAACAAGTCTTGGATACACGCATTAGTATCAGGTATCATAACTGAAAGTAAACACACCACACAGAAAATGCACTGATTTATTAATAAAATAAAATGAAATGTAGTGATACAGTTTTTCATTATTAAAGCCACCGAGACACTTAGTGCCCATTTTTTATATGATGGTGTCATTCAGTGACCTATTCACCAACCGTGGCCGACAGGTTGCAGGTCAGGTATTACAGAAACCACTTCCATGGTGAAAGAAGTCTTCCTCCTTTACAACACAGATGGACATGAAAACCATCCCCGAGGTTTGCAGCTGCATCAGTCTATGGGAGAACTTTTTATGTCCTCTAGTTTAATTCCTGAGACTTCCTCCACGTGGAATGGCTTTTTAAAGCTTTTCAGCAGCAGAGCAAAACAGTGGAACTTCTTCTAGGGTAGGGATCCATACTTGCTCTTCAGGGCAAGAAAATGCATTAAATCTACTCATTTCCAGTACACTGGAAGGATGATTTATTACAAGATCCTCAGCTAAACTGCTGGAGATTTGAGGCAACTATGACAGAGAAAAATATATATAATAGAAGTGTAACATACTCTATTGTGTGTTTTTACTTCTACATCATATAAGCTGGTATAGCTTAAGTCTTAAACTTTGTTCCCCACCACTTCTGTTTAATCACAGTTGCTGTGATTTCATAGATAATAGTGTTATCATTATATAGCTTTGTGGGCTCTAGCATTTTCTGAAAAAATAAGTAAAATGATAAACAAGAAATACTTCAATTGACTTTGTACATTTTCCTCTATAAGCAAATTTCCTATAAATTAGGTGCAGAAAAAAAGCATCACCTACAAATATGATTAAAGTTCTTGCTTGGATTTCACAGAATTAAAAATCTTGAACAAATCTCTTATGGACACAAAGCATGACGGGGTTGGACTAGATGACCTCTGAGGACCCTTCCAACCTTAAGCATTCTATGATAAATATATTGCAGTTGGCAGGGGACAGAACATGACTAAAATCAGAATTAGCTGCACTTTTTCCCCCTACAAATAGGCACCACTCTCCTGCATACTGCTTGAAACAGGTATCTGGGATGTCTGTATTCATAAAGCCTTCAGAAAAGAGAACATACTGCTTGCCTCTGGGTTTCTCCTTTCAGCAAGGTACAAAGCACCATGAAGGGTTTGGCATTAGAACGTGAACTGAAAACTGAAAGTGTAAGGACAAATGATGAACCCTAAATGACAGTCCTRTTAAGAAAAAAAATGAAAGCAAAATTAAAGAGAGAAATAAAGTGCACATTACCGGCACTGCAGAAGCCCAGAGATAACATACAGAATGCAAGCCCACAGCAAGTGTATCTTCCATAGCAAGCTGGCTTATCTGAACAATCATGTATCAGAGCAAGCTGGGTGGTCGCCTGGAGTCACGGTCACTGCTCGAGCCTGGCTGTCCATGTTGGAGAGGGATTTGCTCTGGGAGCCCTCAGACTGCCCTGACTGTTCAGAAGCAGCAGGAGAAGCTGCAGCACGTTCAGCACTCTCGTTCCCTCTTGCCATTGCACTGGGAGCAGGGGTTTCTTTTGCCGTGCTGGCATGATTGTGTGACTGGCTAGCTTGTCTCCCCGCTTCTGCCTCCTGCTGCTGCAGCATCCGCTCCACCTCTATCTCAAGTTCCAGACTTTCCTCATCTGCCTCCACTTCCAGCTGCTGCATTAACTCCTCCAGCTTCCTGGCCTTGCGGAGCTCATTCTGCTGGATGATTGTGCACAGGTGCTCTGTGAGGTGCTCCTTAATCTCCGTCTTGTGTTGGAGGTCCAGCTTGGCTGCCACGTACTCTGACTCCGCCTTATCATAGCGTTTCCTGCAAAACCATCAGCATTTCTAGTGGGTTAGTTCTCAAAGCACTTGGGTCTTGCACACAGACAGATACTTGAGGCATCCTTGAAATGCAATCTCCTCTGCAATGCATTATGCCAGGCTATTTCTYGACATCCTGCTACATTATTCAAAGGGAAGAAAATAAGTGCAAGAAGATCAGACTTCCCCCCTTGGCACATCAGACTCCACTGCTGCTGCATTCCAAGAGTTAAATCCCTTGCCTGAGGTCYACACACTGTATCATACACAAACAGTTTTACTGGCCGATTTAAGGGATGCAGGACTAGTACCAAAAGAAAACACCAAAAACCTTAGAGGCTTCACATATTCCAACGAACATCTATCTAGTGAAAACTAAAATATCACAAATCAGTTTTCTGCTTCTCTGATCCAACATCTATTCAATGGATGCAGGTACATTTACTCCTAAACGGGGTCTAAAAGTGCACTTTTCGTGCCACAAAAACACATAGTTATGAGCAGCACAGATGATATCAACAGCGATCACAACTTTTGTGTTGCAACAGATTGGGAACATTCTTGTATTCCAGTCACCCCAGCACACATCACCTGCCAATTTACACTTCCTGTTAYGACAAATATAGCAAAAAGGAAATATTCCAAATATTTGAGGTCAACATATCCATAGCTAGCTCCATAACAGTTGTTGTCCACATCAYTGATGCTTCAACTACATTCAGTGAATCCTTCTATTTATTCTAATTTAACTAATAGGAAGATAGATACAATCTTGCTGACTAGGAAAAAATAACATGCATGTGATGAATGTTATGGAGCACGCACAAATCTAACGCTAGTAAAATAAACAAAACAGTCATTCTACAAAATCACCATTTAAATATCTGATTAAACAAAGAAGCAGAAAGATGACAGACCTTTTGTTTAGAGAAACAGGAGGAAATAACACATGGAAGCGCATTCCCAAATATGTTTCACAACACAGTAATTACAAAACTTTTACCTTGTTGTCAAGGCTGCGTCTACAGTGGGCAGAAAACGCCCACTTACATTTCCCTAATAAGAACATCAACTTTTCTCGTGGCAGTGTACGTGAAAGGGAAGAGTTAACACTATAGTGGAAACTTCTGCATAATTAAACAGTTCAGGTTGAACCTGTACATTTTACTCATGAAAACTCCATTCCACAACAACTCTGACACTCCAGTGCGTTCAGCCCTATTAACATTGCACATCTTGACTCACTGAAATAATTTGTCTTTAGCCCCAAAAACACATGTTGAGAGATCAACAAGTGCTTAAAAAGACACTGTAATGGAAGCACATAGGGTCATAATGCATGAAACCCACAACACTGAATGTGACTCATTTCCAAAACCTCCTCTTAGAAAAAAGAAAAAAAAAAAGGACTTCCTAAGTTCATTAAAGTCATTAAGCATTTTGGAAAGTTCAGCTGATCCTCGCTACCAACATCCCTTTGTGTCATCTTCATTTAAAACTGCTTCCCAAAAGCCAGAGGTGCATGTTGTATGTCCTTCTACTAAGAAAAATTTCAAAGGGGGACATTGTTATAAGATTTAGATAAAGAAATTTCATAGAACATTTAACAGTTTTAGAAACCAGAGTTAAACCTACAAATACACCAAAATGTTTTTCCTCTTGAGGATATGAAGTTCAGCATGTAAAAGTATTGAGCTAGTGAAACTACAGTTTATCTTTGATATTTCAAATGATAATTAGGCAAAAGAAAATCTTATTTTTTTTTAGCTGCCACTGGTATTTCCTTAAAGACTAATTACTCTGTTTATTGGCCTGTGGTCAACGTACAGCAGACGTCATAAGGAGAAATACACATTTAACATGTTGAATCGTGAAACAAAAACCGCAACTGAACATTTCCATTTTATTAAACGGCTACATAAACATACTGATGTTGATCCAGTGATGTTGCGGTTTACCCACAACTAATAGGGTGTTCCAATTAATTTCTTGCATTTAAGGAATTCATCAGAAGCAGGGTGATCAAAGGCACATTGTGAAGAGTAGAAGCTCACTTCTTCCTTCAGTTTTTGGTCCCAGTTCCAACAGCACTTCAGCACTATTATATATGTTTCAAGCTTAATTGGTCCCATTGATTCCAAAAGGACCAGAGCTGTCATCAACAGGCAAGTTTCCCCAAAATGGACGTTCATTTTAGGACTTAAAAAGCAAAACTCTTTTCCCCGAGAAGAAATAAACGACCTTGAAACAATAAAGTAGGGTTTACGAACAACTGCACCATTAAAGCAGCAAATACATCTACTGACAGCACAAAGCTGGAAACCACAACCTGCAATCAGGAAACCTACCTCAGCTTCCAGATACCAAGGGAAMAAAAATGAGGAAATAAAAAGAACACTTCAAGAGCTGAAAGTTCCCCAGACTGACCATTTTACCTACATGATTACAACATAATGTCACTACTGCTTCAGCGACAGGAAACTGCACTTTATCCCGCCACTGCCTGCCTGTCACTTACCGGGCATAGGAGTAGTCCAAGCTCGCCTGATCAATTCGGTTCCGCAGGATTCCGATGTCAGCGGACACCAGGTCATCCAGAGCCTGTAACTCCTTCTGAATCCTCTTTAGTTTCACTGTTTCAGCTTGAGTTCTTCTGGATCTGCAAAGGAAAGATGCTTTTTTATAATTTGGCTTTGCAAACGTCTTTTCTTGGCATAATGCATCTCACTTCATCCGCAGAGCGGCAGCCTCCTTTAAGAGCTACTCCAAAGGTCTCTCCTTCATGGCTTAAGACTTTTGATCTTTTTTAATATCCACAGGGATCTAAAATGCCTGCTATTAAAGGACTAAGGCAAAATTACGTAATGACTGTAATCAAAGTGCCTCAAATGGATTGTGTTTCTTCACTGTGGAAACACACAAGAAACTGCTGTATCTAAGTAGTGCTCAGTGTAAGGAAACAGGAAATGGTTGGGGGGAGTGGGGGGCGTATTTAGTCCTGCAAATATCCCCTTTCAAAGAAGCCCAGTTAGTAAGGGCCAAAGAGTCACCTAACTTAAACTTGATTTCCATTTTGCAAAATTATTCCCAACAGGCCTAGCTAAACCCCAGTGAAGTCAATGGAAAATTTTACATCAAATACAAAGAATTTCAGTCAAACCCGGTATAACCTTTTTCAACTCAGGCCATTCATTCCTAAGTTTTGAAAACGGAATGTTGCTAAGGGCAGCAAGCTTTGATGGATTTCACTCCAAAGCAAGCTAAGGAACTTTGAACACGCTTTTTATACCAGGTCACTTGCCTATTCATTACCACCAGTAAAGCYAACATTTTCAGTTATATCCCCAAAAACATACATTAAAAGCAAAATTTAGAAAGTGACATCACTTCTCACTAGACCAACTGATGTAGACGGAAAGAAAGAGGCATCCTGTAGTGTTGCTACAAGCCTGAAGGTCTTTGGAGCTCAGACATTACTTCCTAGCTGTCACCTTCCAAGACCTCCTCTGTGTTCTTATGCTCTGCCTCCAGGCTGGAGGTCACTCCACATTTACTTTCCTACTGTGACCTGGGCAAAGACACGCTGCTTTTTATCTCTACCTGGCAGAGGAACRAATGTCTCCAGAACCTCAGAGAACCTTCTGCACAGCACTGGCTGGTTGTATTAACCTTCACTTTGGCCAAAAGCTCTGACGGGCAGAACACACAACACACCTCGGGGAGAAAGTGTGAGCCTGAATGCTTAACACCTCATTCCTTGATCCAGTGTTATCAGCAGCTCTGATGTCCCTCCCTACAAATCCTGCCTTATCTTAAAGCCTGGTCTCCTGAAGAGCCAGAACTAAGAAGTAGAAGAATGGATGCAATAACATATTTACTTCAATCAATTAGTCGTAACTGGCTTCTTAAAGTTGACTGTTTTATTCTTCAATATTTTTTATGTACCAGTAAGACTCAAAAGCCCAGACAAATCACTATYATTTATCTTCATAGCTAGGAACCATATAAAGTTGCCTAAAACCCATGGAAAGCTACAGACATCAGCTGATTCTCCAATTCTGTAACATCTTTTCCATCTGTGCATGCAGCTGCAGCTTTGTAGGTGTGAAGTACCTGATTGAACTTCTCCACRACATGTGTAACCAGAGGGAAACACTGATCACATTCACTACAGAGTAATATATGTAGCACACAGACAAGAGGAAAAAGTGAAATTTAACAAAAAAATATACAACTGATTGCAGATGAAAAGCAGCTCCTTCCTCAGCCCCAGCCCATGTTGCAGCATGGCCCCTCACCTCTCTGCAATAGCTTTGGCCAGGAGTGCTTTCTTGCGTTTATTTTTCTCTTCTATCAGCCGCTGTTCCTGCTGGAGGATTTCCCATCGTGATTTCTCCTGCCTGTTCATTGACAAAAAGATCATCAAAATTAATAAGTTCATTTCTCGCCCTGTTTTCTGTACCCAAGATGACACAAGTACAGCCTCTCTCTCAATTCTTTAACTACTACCTTTACCCTCTCCCCCTTTCCACCCGCCAAGAAAAGCCACAGGAACAAAGGAACAAAGTCAGTGTTCCAGTTCTAAGGTAAAATGAATCATCTATAAGAAAAGTAATTTAGGCTAATAAAGTATTTCTAGAAGAAATCTGCTGATCAGAGTGAAAATTTTGCTAAGCAGAAAGCTGGTGGTTAATCCAGCTTCATGAGAAAAGGGAACATATGGGACTTTTCATTAAAGGAATGTGTTTCCCCATTAGGTAGAAGCAGTTTCAGGTTTCTTGCTATCTGCTATAAGTTATCTACTCAGTCTGTCAGCRCAGTCTTTCCCCCCCGCCACCACCTTCCTTTAGAAAGGATTTTTCTATAAAACAGAGTATTTAATGTGTGTGCAACTTCCAAATAATTACACTGACAAAGGTGAAGGTAAGATACTATCAAAAAGGAGCAACAAGAACAGAAATTCACTTATGCCACCAGAGAAAGAATTACACAGATTCTATTTCCTAAGCTACATCTACTAAGAGATATAACCAATCTCAGGACAACTTGTGCAGTAAGTAAACACAGTTGTGCAGAATTAAAGAAAAACAAAAACTGCTTCRCTACTTTTCCACCTTGTAATGTTTGGAAATTTCTGTTCCAAGGTGTGGCTTAACTCAAAAATGCCAGAATCTCACTTATGTTTATTTTCATAATCACTTCAGCACAAGATTCCTCTTTAGACTTCTCCTCATTACTCTAATTCCTAAAGCCTCACACAGATATATTTTTAGTAAGATTTAAATTCAAGTCTATAGGCAGAGAAATCAGGCAGTTTCAGGTGAAGGCTGTGGCAATAAAGTGTCACTTGCCTCCCAAACACAGACCTTATCCCTGTAACACTTCAGGCATCTTCTCCCCTGAATGCCTGCATTTTTCACTGCATGGAAGGAGCTGAAGAACCAGCACTCCTGCTGAGCTGTGCCCCCCTGAGGAATKTGGCACTGCCCTTTGAGGTGCTGCTACCTGGTGATGCGGGAGCTATGGGCATGTGGCCGATCCCACCCAGCACCCAGGCAGGAGAGGAGCAGAGAGCAAGACAGCAGCTGCTTCGCTCAAGATGCATTTGTGTGAAACGGGAGCTCCCGGAGCCCTGTGAATCCTGAATSCAGGAGGAGCCCCGTGCTGCTTCACGTGCTGGGCACTGCCAGCTGCCACAGGTCTGCCTTGCTGGTGGGCAGCACCACCAGCCCCTTCAAAGGGCCTACAGAGATAACTGGCTCACAAAAACACAGTCCATTGCATCAACTTGGAAACTGCTGAGCTCTGGTTTGGGGAACCATCAGTGCTGCAGCCCCCTGGCCACCCAGCTGCTTGTGACAGCAAATTGTAAYGGGCAGGAAAGCTTTGAGCTGCAAAGGGCATCGAGGCGGGAGCAGAATTGTTAAAAGCTTTAAAAATAAACTATATGCCCTAGAAAGAGGCATTCATCCTTTGGCCCATTCTCACTTGGCTTTGTAGACAGGAAAATAAAGGGAATTCTGTATAAAGCTGTGAGCCTACTGAGAGCGAAAAAAAAAACCCAGAAGATTAGTACTTGGATACAGATAGGAAGAAAAACTCCAAGAGGTAACAACCCATTTCATATTGGATATAGGTTCCTCCTTAGCCCCGAGACAGCAGTTTCCTTTTGCATGCTACTATCTGCACGCTGGAACACAGTAACTGCCATAATTTGATCAGTCAATTCCCAGCCCGACACACTCTGTATTCTCTCTCTTCCTCTCACAAGGACCATTTTGATGCTTCTGATAGAGACAGACAAGTTACTAGGGGCTGATGAGCTGAGAGCCCTGAGATGGTCTCATCTTTAATTAAGGAAAGCYGAGGACTGCTTAAACCTGAAGCCTTAACTCCTAACAAAATTGGAGATCTAYTTCCCAAAGGTCTGACTGTTGTGGAATGTGGTTCATTTACCCAGAGTGAGATTGGGTCTTTATAAACCATTAAGACAGTCTCACATTTTGGATGCTTTCTAATTTACAGCCCCACTGCCAGAGGAAGTTACTTAAAGACAGCACAGCATATATCTGCATGAATTAGACTACATCAGATTAGATTTAACCCAAAGAGAGATGAAACAGAGATTCACCAGGGAGGAAACAAACAGCCTTCCTAAGAGGCAGAGCAAAGTTCAATATCCAGTTTCATTTTACCACACAGCAAAAGAATGAATTAATATAGAATAAAATCAASCCCTTCATTTTACCGACTTACTAACAATTCCACTTTCTTTTTCTCCGCTTTCAGGTTCGACTGTTCAGGGAGGTTCTGGGCATTTTCACTGCCATTACAAGGGTCGCCCAGGCGCAGTTCCTTGGGCTGCTCTTGGCTGCTGTGCTGCCTCTGGTCTCCCTCTGAAGGGGCACGGGGTGGTGCCGCCGCAGGCTGCTGAGGATGGCCAGGCTTGTGTTGGGGTACGGAAAGGAGCTGCTCGGGAAGGGCAGAGGCAGCTCCATCCTGCACTGGCAGCTTCTGGCACTGCTCCTGGAGGGCTTTTTCCCGTTGCAGCTGCTTCCGGCTCTTACTCGTGGGCTGAGGGCGACGCGGCGGCGGCAAGGATTCACAAAACTCTGTAAGGGGCAAAGAGAAGAAACAGAATTAAACTAAACTCATAAAGTCAAAGGAAGACCCTGAAGTAGCTTTTCCAGGAAAACAAMCAAACCAGGGCAAACCAGCCTAAGGAAAAGACATGGTAGGTGCTGTGGGAAGGCACAACAGAGAACCCAGATACTTGGAAGTGTTTCGTTAGTCTAATAAAGAGACTGAGATGATCTGAGCACCCAGAGCAGGGGAGGGAGGGACGAAGGGCTCAGAGCAGGGACTAAYTGGGGGACAGAGAGACACCGGGGCTGAAGAAGGGCCCTTGATTAACCAAGGGTTTATGAAGTGAGCTGGAGGGGGAACAGCCATAGGGTGAGGACAGGGAGCTGGAGGGGCTGGGACGGTGACAGGGAGAGGTCGGCAGAGGGGCTGGAAGGAAGGCTGGCGTGGGGAGGAGGAAGCCAACAGGGAGGGCCAAGGGCCTGCACAGAGAGGCCACGGCAGAGACACGGGGAGAGGAAAAGGGGACTGGCCGACGGGACGGAGAGCAGGGGAAAGCAGCAAGAAGGGAGGGAAGGGGCAAGGAGGGCGGAAAGCTAAAGGGAGAGGTGGGCAGGCCGGGTGCATGGATGTGGGAGCGGGAAGCCCGGAYAGGGGAGCCGGGGGAAGGATGCGGAGGGCTGGGACGGCCGAGCGGCAGGGCCGGGAGGCGGCGGGGC